TTTTTTTTTTTTGGGGGGGGGTTCTAGTTGTACTGTAGTTACTATTCTTGCATAGGGACTAGAAATAGGGACTAGAAGGGTGTGATATTTCGAAATGAATTATTCAGGCCCTTGTAGTACTTGCCTGCCTGCTGCTTCCTCAAGCTTCCATCAGCTTGCCAGTTTATGTCATGTTTGACCCTAGCCTAAGGCCTAAACTCTAAGCCGCCCTATTTATTTTGCGGAATTTTGTTGCGTTCGGCTGTTGTGAGCCCTCGACGCTCACAGGACTGACTAAGTCATCGAACATCGAAGACATGGCAACTTGCGCATCAGCAGCTGAAAGGTGGCTCCAGCCCATGCCCATACCACACTACCTCAACCTACCAGAACCTACTTTTGTGCAATATTCGGGCTTATAATAGGAACCTGCAAACAAGTATGTTACAAAGCCATGTAAATCATGTAAACGTAAACTAGACTGCACCCGTCTGCTGCTACCCAGAATCAGAGTCCGGAAGCGTGGTTGACGCCACGCTTCTTACGCCATCCTCGGATGAACTGCATGAGAAGCGACGGCTACGTCCTGGTGCCGGTGGGTACCGGCGGGAGACAGCTGGCTTCATAGGCACTGGCGCCATGGTGCAATGGGTGGACTGTGGATACCTAGCCACACAATCTCTTTCAGACTCGCTGTTGGCCGTCTTGAGCATAAAAGCTGGACCAAATCCAACGGCACATGCGCTACTGACCCGTAACTCTTCATGCGCGGCTGTGCAACCTTAAATGTACTGTCTCAAAAAGCCGGGGGTTGCACATATCTCAGCAAGTCGGCGGCGAGCTTGCTGGTGGTTGCAGGCATCATCTGCTTCCAGAAGGCTAGGCAGAGCACTCGCGCCAGCGCTGGAAGCGGTAACCAGCGCAGGATGCTGTCAGCCGTTGAGACTTTCTCAGCCTCGGAATCGACCACATGAAGTCTGCGCCGCCAGCTTTCCAGCTTTTCCTGAAGCTGTGCGTCTGCAGACGAAGTCACTTGGCCCTCCTCATAGATGTCCCAGAGATCTGAGAGCTCTACTCCTCCTCGTGCCACAAGGGGCCCGAGCCACCGGAAGAGAGTCTTAGAGCACAGCCCGGAAAGGCTACTGGAAGCAGTCTCTCGAGTTTCGTCCAGGAGGGGCTCTTCCATACCGAGAGCCGATAGCCATGACCAGCAGGATCGTGTAGCATAGCAGAAGGAGTCAGCAAGATGACAGAATATCATGGTTCTTGTGTTGACTGTGCAAGGCGATCGAGCTCTTTTGCAGGGACAGGATGCAATATGGGAGTTTCCGAAAATAGGGACCCTAATATAGTACCCTAAAATAGTAGGATCCTTATCATAAGGACCCCCAAAATAAGGTACCCTAATTTTCGGAAAATCCAATATCGTTTACTCGGACTGCCTCGGACCGTGGTCGGGTCTGGGTTCGAGGGATTCGCGGTTTACAGTTCTAGAAACTTGCCCTAACCCCCCAGGTACTTACTATATAGGGCCCTGGGGGCTCTAGTACCCTATATAGTAGGTACCTGGGGGTTAGGGCTGGGTGCCTGGATAGATGGCTCATGTCTGTTGCGAACACTTTCCAGCTTAAGACATGAGGCCGGCGGACAGCAGAATCCGTTTTGAAGCTGCTCGACATAAGCCGTATAGTGATATGTGACAGCTTTCTTGTGCATGTATAGAGAAGAAGCTGTAGGTACGGATGCATGCATGTGCATGTGGATGGATGGCATGGATATGCGCGGATGTATAAAGACAAGCAATCTGGATACAGAGTGCTGAGGCATGTGAGTCCACCGGCAGTGACAGTCTTCCACACGCCAAGCACCGCTCCCCTGGGCAAAGAAAGCAGCGTGTTGCCGCACCGGGTCGCCCTCTAATCCGGAGCATGACTGGGTTCTTGTTAAGGAGAACATCTTGTCTATGATATATACAATCTAAAAATGCTGGTGTGTGTACATATTATATATATATATGCCTATACATGTATATCGTATTTTGATAACTTGCACAAACTTCCTCAACAAGAAGGGGTACGAATTAAAGAGGCGCATCGAGTATGATACAGGGGTGAAGGTACCGGTACGGCGCCCTCCAGAGTCGAAGCCATCGCTGTTGCAAGGGCAGGGCGACAGGGCCGTCAGCCTCCGGCGATTTGGGCACACAAGCGTGGGAGTGTGTGTGGGTGTGTGTGTGTGTGTGTGTGTGTGTAGGCTTTATCTGTGTAGGGTTTAGGGTTTAGGGTTTAGGGTTTAGGGTTTAGGGTAGTAGGTCAAGGGTAGCCGTGCTGTGGCGACTGGTAAGACAAAAACGAGCTGGGCAGGGGCAGACCCGTCTGGCCTCGTTGACCGGGAAGCAGTGGGACCATGTCTTCCCTGCCCACACCGGCTTCATAGAGCTGACACTGTTTGATATTAGCTTACAAACAATATAAATAACTATATATATATATGTATTCCGGCATATTCTATTGTGTTCTTTCATATTGTATGTCTTTATGTTAGAATATGATACAAAAACCATGCTCGATTAAATTATATGACATGGTATTTGGCCAAGTTACATTAAACTGTATTGTGTTATGTTACACTTTTGTATGTATTGCACTTGTGTGTCAGTCGTAGTACAGTACAGTAAAGTGTGGCACATTATATGCGGTTTATATTGTAGTATTGCTACATATCGTACTACATCATACCCTGCCACACCATAGTATAGCACGGGGTTATCATATGATGAGCTGCTTCGTGATGCGGTATAGTGTTGTCTAGTCTAGAAAAGTGCAGTGTAGTATGCTGAAGTATGGCAAAGGAACACGGGAAAGTATAGTATGGTATAGTACAGTACGGTTTAGGTCAACATATTCTGTCGCGCTTGCGTATCTTGGTTCATCGAAGCAATCAAAGCAACCGTGGCAGTTAAACCCTAAACCCTAAGCCCTAATCTTTTGGCCTAAATAATTACCAATACTATCTTGGGTCCTTATTAATAACTATAGTCTAATCGGCCTCAAAACCCTGTTCTAATTATTGAGGCCGCTATATTAGTTCCATCTACTTCTGCTTCTCACACCCGGCCTTGGTGGGCTTGATACCACAAGGCCCGACGGGCCATCGACGTCCTGGCTGGCTTGCAAGACTGTGCAGCTGTGACGAGCTGACAAACCAATTTTAGGGTTTAGGGCTTAGGGGGACTATTGACTCACTAACTAACTGGCTAGCGAGTTTAGCAGTTTAACTGATGGCTTGCGAGTTAGCTAGCTGGCTGACTGACTAGCCAGCTAGCCTGCTAGCTAAATGACTCAACTTGGGGAGGAGGGGCTGGGCCGAAAGCTAAAACAGGGCAACTAGCAGGGGACTGCAGGCTTGAAGTCGAAGCGAAGCAGCCTCGGAGCTTTCCTGTATCCGAGTCTGGCGAGTGCCAATTCGCACCCGTGCCCGAGGGTGCACACAACTCGGAAGGGGCACGGCCGCGCAGGGTGCGTCTAGGCATCACTGCAACATTCATGATATGTGGTCGCAAAACATACAGACAAACTACCCCCCCTCCGTGATGTGCGAGTGCACCACGTTCACATGCCGATTCTCGGAACATCTCGAACCCCTTGCGACGTGTGACCTCACAACATACACACGCCGATGCAACACCCCCAACACATCTTACCCCATAAGAAATTTTACCCCCTGTGATGCCAACGCCCTTCACATATTGCACCCCCCATGTTTGACAACAGGCAGAGGCCGCTCCACGGAACAAATCGCACCCCCTGTTATGTGTGATCTGAAAAACAAACACACACACACACACACAGACACACGCACACACACACACACAAGCGCGCTCCGATGTCCGTAATTAACAAATCGTACCCCGTGTGTGATGTGTGAGCTCACGCCACATTCATATGCCGCTGCCCTTATTCGCCGATGTCTATAGCCGCAACAATCGTTGTGATGCGTGCTCTCACGACACTCAGTATTCCCGGAACAAGTCGTACTCCTGTGATGCGAGCTCAAAAACATGCACACGCCGATGCCCGCAACATCACATGCACGAAGCGATGCGAATCGTACCCAGCGTGAGGTGTAATCTCAAATCACGCACATGTTGATACAAGTTGCAAATCGTACCTCGTGCGATGCGTGATCGCATTAACATACATACGCCGATGAAAGCAGGAAGCGGTGATGAATGATCACACAACGTGCTCCGCCAATGCGCGCAAAAGACACGTACCCCCTGTGATGTGTGATCCCACCACGTCCGTACGATGTGCGATCTCCCTACAGACACAGGCCGATGCCCGTGACACATGCACCTCCCGTGAAGTGTGATCATGTCCGCGCCGCCCCTGTGAGTTGTGATCTCACAGCATTCACACGCCGATCATTAGAACAAATCGTACACCCCTGTGCTGGGTGATCTCACAACAGACACATGCCGATCCGATGCCGCAGCAAATGCCACCCCTTGCGATGAGCGATCATACACACGCCGATGCCTGTAACACACTGTGCTTCGTGTGCAAGCCGATGCACATACCATAACATGCTCCTGTGATATGTGACCTCACCACATGCAGACGGGGATGCCCGCGACAAGTCGTAGCCCCCTTGTGGTGTGTGATCACACCATATTCACGCGCCGATGCCCGGAACAAATCAGCTCCAATCAGAGCCACTAAATCCCTAAGCATCGTCAGCATCATTAGATGAGCATCATCGGAACCCATATCGGAGCGAGCAGGCAAGCATCATGAGCATCATCGGGGGCCCATGTCGGGGCCGACGCGCAAGCATCATCGGGGCCTCGTCTCTCCATTCTGGAGCGGTCTGAAACACCACTTTCAGAGACCCGAAAAAGGACCCGGCCCGTCCAGCTCTAGGTGGGGCCTGGCTCGGACACCGGCCCAAAAGGGGACACTCTCCCCACACCCCTTGTCGCAACCTTCGGTTATGAGAAACTCAGCTAGCCCGGGAGGCTAGCTTTAGTGATTACAGGTGATTGGGATCGAGAGCTCTAGGTCTAGGTTGTATGGCTTCCTGACTTGAAGCACAAGAACCTGAACAGTGGAAGCAGAGAGCTATCTCCTCCTCATGGTGCGACTTTCTGGGCGTCCCCTGAACGTCCTGAGTGGGATTAGGGCTCTTTGACAGATGGGGCTTAGGCTTTAGGACCGACTCTGGCTTGAGGGTTTAGAGCTTAGGGTTCAGGGTTTGGGGGTCGGCGTTTAGGCCGTGGCTCCCACCGAAACCGTGTAGCCCTGACAGTATTTCGAACATCTAGGAGGCAACATGTCTCGACTGCCGGCCCCACCGTCTGCAAGTTTCTCTACCGTCACATGCATGTCTTTGAACCCAATGGTCGGTCAGCAATTGGGAAAATTGAAAAATCTTCGTCTGAGCCCGTTGCCGGATTCGAGGGAACAGGAAGGCCCGGGAGAAGTAGGCTAGGCGGCACCTCCAAAGGCAAACACACCCGAGAAAAAAAGAGGCCTTTGAAGCCCTGATTTTCAAGAGTATAGATCTTGCACTCTGGGTTGCCGTGACATGGAGGTGCGGCAGCAAGAAGCTCTTCGACTTCGTGTTATGACGGAAGTAGGACATTTCCTTTAAAAGTGCAAAGTCATAGCTGGGCTAAGACCGCAACGACATGGATAGGTTGGCAGCTTCCAGCGTAGATAAAACAACATAGGAAATTAACTATGATCTCCAAAAACAGACAGGATGGTTGGCGAAAGACATAGAGAACAACAGAAGCAACAACGGTGGAACATAGGGCATTCTGGATGTTCTATTTTGTCCTATGTGTTCACCGAGTCTTCTGTTTGGTGTCTTCTTGTTTTCCTTTCCTAGGAATTTAGTAGATGTTTCCTATTAAATTATTCGTTTCAGAATAATAAGTTAAGACTGTGTAGATAATCTTCGATTTCCGTCACACTGTCCCTTTGTTGTCCTATTTTTGGAGCCTAGTTGTTGAAAAAAACTTTGACTAAATAAACTATTTGATTGTACGACCGGCTTGTATTGTTGAAAACATAGTGACTCCCAAGTTTTCGTATCTCCAGAGTAAATAAGCATTTTCACAACAATGCAACCCCGTCTTAACACTTGGGAAGACGTTCAGACACCAAGACTGCTGGCAAAGAGGTCACTGAAAAACTACTAGCCTCAAGGCGATGACTAGTGACCAGAATCGACCTCTGAATCATGGTGCCTCGGTGACCTGCAAAAGCACTCTGGCCCAACTGTCCTGAAAAATGCACTTCAGCTCAAGTCTGTTTGAAGCCGGAGCTTGCGGACCTTGTCTTCAGGCTCTTCACGGACTTCCTGCCACCCATAGTCCTGCCTGGGAAGCCAAGGGAACTGGAACCCTGAACCTCAAGCGCATAAACTGGGTGCGTGCGTGTTTCTGATGTATGTGCGTGTGCGTGTGTGTAAAATAGATAGATAAAAGTGCATAAATATATGAGAAAATATACATATATTATATTTACAAATACATTATACATCTACTTTCTTATTTATGTCTAACAGAGAACAACAAAAGCAACACACATGGATTAATGCTATGCATGTATGTATGAATGAACGTATGCAGGCATGTATGTACGCATGTCTGCCATATGTGTGCGTACGTAGCTAGGTGAGAATGTATGTATGTATGTATGTATGTATGTATGTATGTATGTATGTATGCATGTATGTATGCATGTATGTGTGTATGTGTGTATGTATTTGTGT